CTACTTTCCTCACAAATCCACGAGGCACAGTTTACAGGATAGTTAACATTGCCCAGGAGATGGCCAAACGTCTGCTTTGCTTTTGCTTCTGTTGCCCAGAACATATTCATAACTGTCATCCAAGACTATGTCTCTTTAAAAAAAGAAACACTAAAACAAATTTACATATAGCACATCCTATATATAATATGATTCACCCAAGTAAGCTGGCATGAGAAGAGCCAAGGCCCAGCTTTAAAAACAAAATGCTACACACTTTTTTTTTTAATATGTTGTGATGGTTTCTTTTAAGAATCTCTCTCAAATTGCAAGAAATATTCTAACAAGCACTATTGTTATTTGTACTCTATTAGATGAAAATGTCATTTTTAAATAGCAAGGCAGGAAGAAGGCACCCTTGAGATGTAAAGTAAATAAACTAAGATATAAAGAAATAAACAAATGGCAAGGAATGATTAGAGGGCTGATACAGTTAAAATTTCTATATAAATAAATTTAGAAAAAAATCTTGTGTAAAGGAAGACTGTACCATTTAGTAAAGTATCTGTAAGTTACAATTCAAACAAAAACCCACAATTTGAAAGAAATTTAATACACCAAATAACTCAATATAAATACAAAAGTACCTATTGCAATAAGATCCACTCAAATTATACAACTCAGAATCTAACAATATAATTATTCCACATTTTTAAAAAAAATCTCATTTTATTTCACATTTATTACCAAACTTAGTAGCGTGTCCTAAGGAAGAATTCAAATGGAAAGTAATAAACTAATACTTCAGCTTCCTTGAACATTTTAAATAGACAGAAAAGAGGAATTCACACATCTATTTAGACATCTATGAACTTAACTGACAGGAATACATCATGTACACGCATGCACATGTAAATCCAAGAAGGCACAGAGAACAATGAGAAGCCAGAGTCCAAAGGAAATCTGGGGATGGTGTTCCAACACTGCAGGCTGAGACCAGCCTGGGCTACATACGTGAGCAAAAAGGAACTGAGGGAGGGGCTGACTAAAGGAAACCAGGGCTAACCCGGTGACTTTATAAGAAACTGAGCAGCTCCTAATTACTACTTGATTCACAATTTCCAAAGAATTAAAAATGGAGTAAGTTCCACAGCTTCATCAACTGAATGTTTTTACAGCATTCACCCGAGGAGAAGTATCCGGAGCCAAATAGTAATGATCTCAGGAGGAAGGTAAGCAACTGTGCGGCGTCTCTCGGGGGCTGCAGAAATGATCCCCGCACCCACACAGCCACCCACAACTACCTGCAACTCCAACTCTAAAGGATCTGATGCCTTCTCCTGGCAACCAAGGGTTGCATGCACATGACATACATGCAGGCAAATACAAATACATTCCTCTTGCATCTCTGCCAACAAGCTACAACACAGCATTGCTGCAAACTTAACTGAGCAATACTTCATTATAAACCACCACCACATATAGAGAACATTTCTCAAACCCTACCAAAATGATGAGACTGACATATTTTCAACCAGCATCCTGTCCTTCTCACCACCTCACTTAACTGGATATTGGACTTACAGAAACCACCACATCAACTGAATCACCAAATCAATGGAAGGAGGAATTGGTCAAAGACAGTGTTCAGATGAAGCCAGTATAATCAGAATTATCTGACAGACAGCTTTAAAAAGTTTAACATCAAAAGCCCTTCTCAAAATATGGTAAAGCCCAAGAACCAATTCATTAAAATAATATTTATTGAGAAGCCAAAATAACCACTTGTGAAATTTTTTTAAGTGGACAGCTACTTGGGAGGTCCTGTTTATAGTACCCAGCACCACAAACATGAGAACTAACAAACTGAGCATGCCACATGGTGTGGTGTCATGTCATGTGCTGTGTGTGTGTGTGTGTGTGCGCGCGCGCGCGCGCGCGAGTATAGTATATAGCAATTTTCAACAATATTCCATATTCAGGGAACTGTATAATAAAAATAATTAAAATTATAAGAAAATACGTATCAATTGCTGTGCACAAGATCACAGGTATACCAATCACTTCAGTGGAGCACTGACTGAGAAATAGTGGCTTCTCTGTGAAGTATTTCTGCTGACAGTAAGAAGCCTCAGAGATGGCTATTATGAAATTATATGCAACCACTATACAGAAGCGCTTGATAAATGAAACATATTGAAATGAATAAATTCCATACAGCCCAAAGGTGCTTAGGTCAAAATATCAATTTAAATAAATGAGGAAAGAAACAAACAAACAAACAAAAAATACTGGCTTGGTATATAGCTTAGTGACAGTATTTGCCAAGCATGTACCTGGACCTGTTCAACCTCCAGAACCTCAAAAAGAAACATAAGTATTGTTCAGACCGATCCCTTTTATTTCCAAAGCAGAGGATAAAAACAATGGTCATTAATCTATACCTGAGACTGTTAAAAAAAAATGTATTCCGTAACATTGCGAATACACTAAGATACTTGCCTGCACTATATAAAGATGGATGACAACAGATCCCTAGCTGAAAGGAAATTACAAGCTCACAAAGGAAAGAAACAGCTAAACAAGTGAACATCTCAAAATAAATGATATCATACTTACAAACAATGCTCTGGGAACAGAGAAAACTACATATAAGTATTGCCATTTTAATTTTATCGCATAGGACAGGTCACGCAGAATGGTGAGATGCGGACCTCAAAATGAGATCAGAGAAAACTCTTTGTTGGCGGGGACGAAGGAAACTGGCTATGTTTACACCGTGGAGGGTGCACAGTGCATCTTTACAGACAGAAGAAACGGCAGCTACCTGGTCAGAAGCACTGGGGGTGACGTGGAGTACGTGACAATCCAAAGGAAAGTGGACACAACAGAGAATTCAAAATGAGTCATGCGGGTCACCCAAGGGAGACTGACACAAGTGAACACACTTTCAAAGCATGTCTCCAATATTAACACACTTCCCCCAACATTCAGAGAATCACAACAGATATTGTCTGTGTTAATTAAATGAATCTTACTGATCATCAACCACTAGAATAAAAATCTCCCATCATCAAAAATTACTCATTAGGATATTGGGAGGGTGATTAACTGAAAGTGTCCACTATGACTTTCTTGTTCATTCTTTATTTAAAAGCGGGGGGGGGGGGGTGCACAGAGCAGATCGTAACCTCAACCCATCAGAATGGCTAAGATCAAAAACCCAAGGGATGATGCATGCTGGAAAGGATGTGGAGAAAGGGGAAGACTCCTCCACTGCTGGTAGGAATGTAAACTTGTACAACCACTTTGGAAATCGATCTGGTGCTTTCTCAGACAATTAGGAAGAGTGCCACCTCACGACCCAGTTATACCACTCCTAAGCATATATCCAAAAAATGCCCCACCATTCAATAAGGGCATTTGCTCAACTATGTTCATAGCAGCTTTATTCGCAATAGCCAGAATCTAGAAACAACCCAGATGTTCCTCAACGGAGGAATGGATACAGAAAGTGTAGTACATACTAAAATCCATATTCCTAAAGAAACTAAACAACAAGGAGGTCCCTAGGGAAGATGCTTAATCCTCCCTCGTTCAGAAGGGCAAACAGGATAGACATCAGAAGTAGGAGAATAAAGGGAACAGGATAGGAGCCTTACACAAAGGACCTCTAACCACCAGGGTATCAAAGAAAATACCAACCTTTGGGCAGAGTGCAGGGAATCTTACAAATGAAGGTGGAGATAGAAAGACCTAGAGGGGACAGGAGCTCCACAAAAAAACAAACAAACAAACAAACAAACAAAATCTGGGCCCAGGGGTCTTTTCTGAGACTGACACTCTAACCAAGGACCATGCATGGAGATAACCTAGAACCCCTGCACAGATGTAGCCCATGGCAGCTCTAAGTGGGTTCCCTAGTAAGGGGAACAGAGACTGCTTCTGACATCAGGGGATTAAAGAAGGGGCATAGGGGAAGATGAGGGAGGGGGCTACAGCGAGGATACAAAGTGAATAAATTGTAATAAATAAATATATAAATAAAATTAAAATTTTTAAAAAGCAGATCTTTCCCATCATTTAAAGTTACATATCATTTCAGAAAAATAAGATAAAAATGCTAAGACTCTCAGATACATCACCCAATGAGCAGGACCTGAAGCCTATAAATTTACAAAAAAAGGATCAGCTATGAAACAAACAGCAGTTTCATCTTTTGTTTAGAAACCAAGTATGTTAGACTTCATTCATTTTCCCCCAGTGTTACTGAGCTGACATTCATTCTGTTCATCAGTACAGTAAGAACTGGCCCATTCTTCATTAATAGAACTGTTTCTAACAGTGAAAGACTAGAAAATTACTGTTCTAGGTCAGAGGTCAATTGTTTTCTTAATTAGAAAAAACTCTAGAGCAAAAGAGGATAATAGGGCATTGCACATTTTTATTAATATTAGTCATCATCTCATGCCTTAAGCAAAACCAGAGAGAGAAAACTAAAAGTTTGAACAATGTCATGTGGAAAAAAACCTTATTACAAATAACATGTGTCTCTAATACATTAAGATTTGAGTTTGTGATATTGGTATTTGGGGCATGACTTTGAAGCAAAAATTAAGGAGGCCTCAGGAGCACTGTTTCCCAACTGCAGCGCTTCAAACAGCACTTTTCAAATGATGAAACTAGAGTTTTGGGTGGGTACGGTGAGATGGATTGTAAGCGGAGTCTTTCAAACACCACTTAGTGGTCCCGTTATTACCTGTCATACACAGGCACCGTGGTTTCCTCCCGGGGGTTTGTGTCCATGTATGCATGGCGTGCCAACAGACGCCAGAAGAGGGGGTGAGATGCCCTGAAGCTCAAGGTACAGGCAGTTGGTGAGTGTGTGTGTGTGTGTCTGAGCCCTTTGCAAGCACAACAAGGACTTTAACTGCTGGGCTATCTCTGCAATCCCCAACCCCATTACATATTTTCAATAGAGCTAGAAAACTCATGAGATAATGGTTTTCCAAAAGCCTTACCACTAGTATTGAAAGCCATACAGCACACTGGCTTCTCATGGGCAGGGAAGTGAGCAACAACGCCATCACTGTCTGAGTCCTCACTCAGAAGCACCTGCAGACAGAGTAACAATGGTTAACTGCAGTCACTCACATCACGCACCCCTCAATCCCTCACACATGTGAACTCTACTCAGCAATCCAAACATGCCCCTCAGAGGGAGTATAAATTCCAAAAACAGTCACTTGACATGACTGTAGATACTTTGCTAAAAAAAAAAAAAAAATTCACTACTTCCCCTATTATTATAAAGAGGTCAGAGAGTGAAAAAGATAACAAATAAACCAAATTATTATGGAGTAATAATATATAACAATTCATTTTATGTTTGATAACTTTTACATCTTTATTATATACTTGTGTGTGCATTCAAGTATAGGTGAACTTGCAGTTGTAAGCTCTCTCACATCAAGAAGATCTCAAGGATCAGGCTTGGCAGCAGAGACCGTTACCAACTGAGGCATCTTAAGACTTTGAATTGTGATCTATCATTAAGTTTATAGACAAGGAGACACTTTGAAAATACTGCTCTACCATGTTACAGAAACACAGGAAGATGAGGCAAGACGATTTCTGGTGAGCCTTGAGAGAAAGAAAGAATTTAGTCTGTAGGAATGCTGGTAATGTCCTTTTTGCCAAAAGTAACCCCTGCCCTGAAAGATACAAAGTCAATTCTTTTCCCAACAGGCACAAAAAGGAATGAACATTTTAGGAAAGCAGGCTTTGGTGCATGGCAAGTGTACTCAGGTTCAATTCACTTGCTGTAAACAACACTGATTCCAACTTCAGTGATTTTATATAATACTAAACTAATGATAAGCTGTTAATAATAAATAAGCTGTTAAATCAAACATCCTCAACTGTTTCCTGGACCTCTAACACAGCCTACAAATATAATATTATTTTCTGTGATTTTTATTCTTTTTTTCTGATTTATGTTCATATCATTTCTGCTTCATTTTTTAAAGATTATGCTTTTCCCTCTTTGAGGTTTCTGAAGAAATTACTTCCTTCTCCTGATAAGCAGTGATAGCTACATATTAAGCATCTCTGATGGGTCTATGATTTCACAATCCAGAGAGTTTGACTGTGCGGAGAAAACATGTAAGGGCCATTGGGAAGACTCAGTAGTTACAAATCGCTGTTCCACAAACCTGAATATTTCAGATCCGTCCGTGGAACTGGAGCAGAGGAAAAGAACTGACGCGACAAGCTGTCTTCTGACCCACATGAATGAAAGGCAAGCATGCATATTTGTGCGTGCAAGTGCACTCTCCATATAATGGCCAAGTACCCAAATATTATAATACCATTGTTATTTTTAGGGTGTTTGTACTTTGGCTTTCAATCTCATCTTAACCTGGACACCTTCGAATTTGATTTTATGTATAGTAGTAACACAGAGATCATTGATGGTGTTGGACTTAAATATGCTATGTATTCTAACATATAAAATCTAGTTGTTCAGGGCTGGAGAGATGACTTGGTGCTTCCAATCACTGGCTGCTCTTCACTTCTCAGCAACCACATGCTGGTTCATAACAGCTATAATGAGATCTAATACCCTCTTTTGGGGTTCAGGCAGAGCGCTCATATACATAAAATAAATTAATAAATATTTTTAAAATGTATCCTTAAAGAAAAGATACTGATGGTTTGCTGGGCGGTGGTGTTGCACTCGGAAGGCAGAAGCATGTGGATCACTGTGAGCTTGAGGCCGGCCTGGTCTACAGAGTGAGTCCAGAACAACTAAGGTTACAAAGAGAAACCCTGTCTCAAAAACCCAAAATAATAATAATATTAATAGTTACTCCAATGTTCTTTTTTTATGTTAAAAAGTAGCTTTAGCTAAGAATCCTAGTACATACTACAATCCCTGGGCTTGGCAGGCTAAAGCGGAAAGAAGTTTGAGGCAAGTTTAGGTTATCCAAGGTCGCGTGCACATACACACACACACACATGCACTTTTCTGGTGTTATTATTTCTAGGAAGTTCTTAACTGTCCTGAGTAGACTATGATATGTATGGCAATATATATTTTCATTAATTTCGAATGAATTCTAGTGAAATGTGGGCCCTTGTTAAAGGGCATATTTCCTCCAGATATATCAATTCAAGTTTAACACCGACTCAAACACTGACCACTATGTCGCTTTTTTAGGTCCTCCAATTATTATCTGCTGGGAACTAAAATAATCTTGAACTTAATCCTCCTGCCTCCACCTGGCACTCTTGGCACTAAAGGACTATGCACTATAACTGGCTGTTAGGGGGTGTCTGTCCTCTTCCTTGTTTTCGAGACTTCAAATGCAAATACCAATATCCTTAGCAACATTCCAGAGGCTTCGGAACTTACTTGTAACATGTTTCTATGCCTGTATGTGTCAGAAGATGAACTGCACCTCAGAATGCCCATACGGGATAATATTTACCTACTGCTTTACCTGCCAATTTTGACATCTTCACAGAATATACAGGGATATTTGGGGTGAGTGTCATTGGGGCAACTCAAGTTAAGAGTCTCTCTGGCAGAGACTTTCCTGATTCTATACTCAAGACAGAAATATTTGAGAACCATCTGGACTAAATGAAGACTCTAGAAATGCTGAATACCAACAATATTTGACTCCATTTGCATGATGTTTTCAAAATCACAGCAACAAGATTGTGAAGAGGAGGCAACAATCAGATGGACATGGGAGGAAAAGCCAGATAGTCTCTGAGTTCATGGACAGACTTCTATATAGAAAGTTCTAGACCAACCAAGGCTACAAAGCCAGACTCTATCTAAAAAATAAAATGAAATAAAATAAATACCTAGTTCCCTCCAAATACAAATAAAGAGAATGAGATGTAGTTAGGGTTTGAGAGATAGGAATTATTTCAGAATTAATAAATGCAAATATAGAATATATTCACAAACTTTTGAGTTTCTCGGTATCTAGTGAAGTGAGTTGGGCAGATTTCATTTAAGTAGTCTTTTCTGTAAAATATTTCTGTCATTTATCCATTTCTATGTTGAATGTGATTAGAAAATCCTAGTATTCTTACACATTTAAACTCCAGGCCATAAAAATGTTCTTGTGAGGCAGTTAGTACTGTGTCCTCAACATACAAAACGACAGGCAGAAGCCTAACAGCAAAAGGCCACCATAATTTTGACGTAGAGCAAAACCAAAGCTGTGATATAAACTACCTTCTTCTCCTTACAGAATGCAGACTTGAACAACACACACTCAGAAAGGTTCTCTGCATTGTATCCTCACTGTGCCTAAAGCATCACACCACCAAAACCATTAGCCCAGGGTAATTTTCCTACGATTGGAGCTGACCACTTATCTAAGCAGTGCGAAGCCACAATTCGTATCAAAAACTACATTAAACAACAAAGCACACTTTAATTAATACAAGGTATATTGAAGATACCTGGTCTGAGGTAAAAAAAAAAAAAAAAAAAAAACAAGCTAGATATAGACTGTCGTTCTCAAGGATTTTAGTTCACTTATTGGTTTTGCCACATTGCTAACTTCGATTACATAAATGTGTAAAAGGCAGATCATACCACTTAACCTCTCAAGTCAAGAAATACTTTTAAATAAAACATGAAAGTGACAATGATGAAAATGGACACAAAGTCAATTAAATCCATTCCTCCTTAATGCAGTTACCATGCAATGATCCCATCACTATAAAATCAAATTAATCAATACAGCAACAGAAAAATAGTGAAGCAGATTTTATATGCTGCCAGAGTGAGCGAGACTCTGTATTAAAGTCTCGGTGGATTTAAATCACAGATGTCCATGGGAGGGAAGAACATGATGGAGATGGCTAGCCATCAGTAGGACGGGCTAGAACTGGTGAGTCCCTGGGCTGCATTCCCTTTAATGCTCTGCAGGACGACATAAAAAAGCCCCACTCACAAACTATGAGACAGAACTATCTTCCTGAAAAATGATTCATGTAAATGAAAGAGGCAGTACTGTACTACCTGATTCTGGTAATAAATGATAATTAAAAAAAATTAAGAAAGAAAAATATAGTTCTGTGTTAATTTCCTAAAACCTATCTCTTTCCTATCTTATAATTTAGATAGATATATACATAGACTAATAAATACACAAGTACATACATACATACATACACAAATACACACACACACAAATACATACATACATAGATGGCAAATTTGTGGTTTCCCAAACTCCAGTGGAAAAAACATCTTTCCTGTGATACTTCTTGATAAGCATCTTTGATTCAATAGCTATCTATTTGTTCACCATAAGAAAGAAACTCTTGGAACTCTAGAATTCATAATGCAGTTATTTCCATAGTATAAAATCAAAATTCCCTCCCTTCTTCCATAACTCCTGAATTCCTTGACTGTTTCCCAGATTAGCTCCTAAAACCCAGGGCTCAAATCCTGAGCTGTTGTGATTACAATTAATCACATCCAAGTGATACTGGTAAGAGAATATATGCAACTATATGTATGTGTATGCACAAAAATATGTACTTACATGTTTATGTTTAAATATATACATGTATGTGTTTGTGTGTGCGTATGTGCCCATCCCTATCAGTTCATGTTTGTTCTATCTCGTGTTTGTCTCTCTCTGTCTCTCAATTGTGATATATAATGAATAAATTGTGAAGAAAACAAAATTTTAAATCAATACAATCCTATAATGTATTTGCTTAACCTCAAAGTTAAGAAGGAAGAAGCAGAAATTTGCTATTATACACATTTTAAAAAATATAACCAAACTTAACAACACAGAATTTCAAAATTTTTTTTTAATTGCAGCAAAGATTACTGTTTCTCAAAGGGCCAGTTGATCCTTCCACGGGAAATACCACACAGGTAGCTGACAAATGTAATTTTTCATAAAGATGCTGACACACATACAGTAGAAGTAGACTTTAACAAAATATGCAACATTAAAAGCCAATACTTTAAAAACTTAGATGTTTTCTCAGCACTTTTTCTGAATATAAAATAATCAGTGTTTAATAAACCTACTATTTTTCATTCTAGAAACATTTTCGATTATATTTGCTATAACAAAATGAGCAACAAGATTTAGATATTATGTCCTTTCAGAAATATATTTGATAAAAGTAGAACATGAGAGAAATTTCATAACTGACTGAAGAGGGGAGATGTGGCAGACGTTTGTCCAAAAACATCTTCTAAACAAACCTAAAGTTACAAAGACAAGTTCTCCTCTGTTTTCTAGCCAGCCATTCTAAATGATTCTAAACTAGACTGCCTGTCCGAATATGGTATTTTATACCAGGATACTGTCCTGCATATTTTATAGTTTTGTATTTCGTATTCTCCTGTTTGCTTCTCACTATTTAAAAGCAAATGTGTTCGCTGCGCGTGGTGGCTCTTGCCTACAGCCCCAGTTCTCGGGACACGCGGGCCGAAGGACTGCCACCGGCAGCCAGGGTGACAGTAACTCTTTGTACTCCAAAGCCGAAGGAGAGTGTTAAGGAGTCTCACACAACCACGTCGCTTCCTTTCCTGTTTCCCCCCGCATATCCAAGTTCCTCACACTGTTTTCCTACCTTTTCATGTCCTTGAGGATAGATTATAACATGACATTATACCAAAAAGCAGTGTAAACACACTACAACTAACTATAAAAGTATCTATAAAACCCATGCTCTGTGAAAGAAGACAGAGGATTCTTCAGTTTTCCCATCCGGTTTCACTCATTCCTGATGCCGGAACTAACAAATTGAAAATATCCCTTGCTTTCCAAGAATGGGTGAAAAAAATATAATCCAAAATAATTTTTAATTAATTAATTTTTTAAATAAATTACAGTTTATTCATTTTGTATCCCAGCTGTGGTCCCCTCTCTCATCCCCTCCCAATCCCACTCTCCTTCCCTCTTCTCCTCCCATGCCCCCTCCCCTAGTCCACTATCTGACCCTTGCCTATCAGGTCTCATCAGGACTGGCTGCATTGTCTTCCTCTGTGGCCTGGCAAGACTGCTCCCCGCTCAGGGAAAGGTGATCACAGAGCCAGCCACTGAGTTCATGTCAGAGACAATCCCTGTTCCCATTACCAGGGAACCCACTGAGAGACTGAGCTGTCATGGGCTGTGCAGGTGTTCTAGGTTATCTCCATGCACGGTCCTTGGTTGGAGTGTCAGTCTCAGAAAAGACCCCTGGGCCCAGATTTTTTGGTTCTGTTGCTCTCCTTGTGGAGCAACTGTTCCCTCCAGGTCTTTCTATCTCTCCCTTCTTTCGTAAGTTTCCCTGCATTCTGCCGAAAGTTTGGCTATGAGTCTCAGCATCTACATTAATACGCTGCTGGGTGGAGTTTTTCAGAGGCTCTCTGTTGTAGACTCCCGTCTTGTTCCTTGTTTTTACCCTCTTCCAATGCCTTTCCGAATGAGGATTGATCATCTTACCCAGGGTCCTCCTTCTTGCTTAGCTTCTTTAGGTGTACAGATTTTAGTATGTTTATCCTATATTACATATCTAATATCCAAAATAATAAGTTATTCATGTCTTTGGGCCAAGTACCTTTGGATTGCCTCTACCTTGAGCTTAAGCTTTGCAGGTAATACAAATGCCATTCATCCAGAGCTCTTACCTGGCCCTCTCCAACTGTTTCAGTGTCTATGACTGTGATGATGCCTGGTACCAAGGGGCTACGTCTTGAGTTGCTGTGTATGGCAACATCATCTTCTGTCCCCCCTGAGGGAAGCGTGCCTGTCAGCTGAGTCACCACTTTTCCAACCATCGTCAGGCCACTTTTCAATGTCTACACAACAAAAGAGACAAAGTCTATGACTTAGAAGAAAATGTGAAGTCTGAATAGAAATACACATTTGAATCTATTTCCTAGCCTCAAGTCTTTATTCTCTTAAAACACTTTATACACCAATAAATAGCACAGATATTCAGTCTGCAGTTCAACATGACCTTAAAACTTTCTTAGAAAAAAAATCAACATGAGTTCAAGCAAATGTCATCATTACAAGCGCCAACATAACTGTGCTAGCAATAATGCCATAATTAAGTGATAATAATTACAAGTACAGAAGTGTTTCATTTGATAGGAGTACAAATATATTTACCAAAACCTTTCTTTTACTACATCCCATTAATGTACATATTCTAGAATACATGACTTAGTAAAAAGGGAGCTGGCCATGTGACAATGTTTTCTGACATTTTCAAAAATATTGAATTTTTTACAGTGTTGACTTACAATATTATAAGCCAACATCTAAGTGAGAAAAGGTTGTAACTCTAAAATATACCTCTACTGTTATAAAAGACCACACACTAACAGCAATGATGAGAACTCCTTTCAAATGGCATCCAAAAGAACAAGTCGCTGACTGGTTTCCTTCCTGGCTGTTGAGAGAAAGCAATCCCATGCTGTGTTTCAGGTACACTATTCCACTCAAAGCAAGTAAGTAGATCTAAATGCATGTTATTTTTTTTCTTATTCAAAAATCTTAATAGGGCAGGAGTTGCATCCCACTATAAAAGTGTGATATACTTTCCTGAGGCCCTAGTTTCACTCTATACTTGAAAAGAAAAACCGTTAACAAAAATATTCTTAAAGCTTTTTTCTTCTGAAAATAGAACAACATACAAATAACCAACTTTTGAAGGAGATAATTTTCATTGAAGAGGATAATTCTGCCTGCCAGAGCAGACAGCCTAGAGCCTTTCTTCTAACTGTGATGCTGATGAAATGCCTCCTGCCTACAAGATGTATAGGAAAAAGATGAAGCAAAGATTGAGGGAATGGCCAAAGACTGGCCCTACCTGAGACCAGTCCCATGGGAGAGAACCAGCCCTTGACGCACACTTCTTAGTCACATACTTCTTAGGTCTACTTCTATGTCATTTATTTTTCTTTGATTTCAGTTTTGTCTTACAACATCACTATAAAGGTAAACCTATTATTTGCATAAATACTTGGAGCCTTTGAAAGGAAACCATTTTTTTTTTACATTTTCTTGATTTCAGAGTAGCACTTGAAATTAATCTTCATAATTCTAGATTTTTCCCACTGCTTTTCATAGCATTCCATCTGAATTTCCTTATTTATACTGCAAAGTTAAGTTTCTTTGCTGGTGTTCAAGTAAGATTATTTGATTATGGTTATAAAATCTTGATTCATGTTTACTAGTTCTCTCCTAACAGTCCTGTATTAATGTGTTTTTTCTTGTTGTCTGAGAACTTAACGACAACTGTTTTCAGAGGGCAGCACCATTAGCACTAATGGATGGGGGACAACTGATAGGGCAGAGAGAGGTTCAAAATGACAGGGGACCCTGTGACAGACTTGCCTGGAGTGGAAGAGAAAACACACCACAGCTACAGGATTAAAGGCTATAATGGATTTTACTCACGCTTTGTCATAGTGACATGGTCAGCTGCCTTACTGCTAGAGTACTGCTCCGTGAGAGTAATCAGGGATTGAAGGAACGCTAAAATTGTTAAATACACTCAGATTGTGCAAAGACCTAGTCCAATTTGCCACCCCTATCCATACCTACTTAGATAAAGAGGGAAGACAAATCACCAGTGTGGAAGTACTACAGAATCGTATCTGCTACTCATGGGAACAGGAGCTTTTAGATGTACTTCATTCTGATAGGATATAGGCATTAAGAATGACTGGTAAGTTTTTACTTACATTCATTCTAAAGCAAAGTCTTCATTGATGCAGAAAGCTTTCATCTGCATCTGGCTTCAAGGCAGATTTGGTGGTAACAAAGTTTTAGGGCTATTTTTTTAAAGACAGTTTTATCAATATTCATTGTTCTTTCCAAAGACAACACATCAATTCTTCGTGTGTCAATTCTTTGGCGAACATGACCAAAATAACCTGCTTTCCTTTTGTTTTCCTGGTGCTTTGCCTCTACCTTGTGGCTCGCTTCCCTGCATTTCTTTGCACTTTTAATACGCCCCAGTTCTATTCCTATTCACTGACATAAAAGCATGAGCTGATATGCTCAGGGGCAAAGGCAGAGGATATTCATCCAGACACTTTCACACTGAGAGGTCTTGCTTGATAAAGACTTGGTTGTGTCTGTGTGGGAACAGCTCCATTAGCACTGAGGGCGTGAGCACAGCAGCTGAGGCACCTCAGAGGTTAATCGGACTTCCTGCTCAGTTCTCTCATGAATACACTGTGGTGCCGGCTTCCCTTGGTCCTTCAGAGGCATACTCAACAACACTAACAGTCATTTCTTGTGAATTATTGAAAAAAACATTTGGCTCCTAATTGAGAACACTAATGTGTTTTATAAGCACTGTAGTTTGAGATTTTAGCACAAAACAAAATAGTTGCAATTGATTCGTGAGTTCGCCCCCCCCAACCTTGGTTTTGTAACTTGTGTCTTTGTGCTTGAATTCAGCAGACAGAACTTTGCTGGTCATCTTATTTAAGAATGTGTTAGTATTTAAGGTAGAAAGCTCTCGCTCCTCTTCAGCTGTGGATGAGCTGGATCCGAATGTGAAGACCACACTGGCTCCACCTTGGTTGGAACAGTCCTTTTACCTCTCTGCCTCCTTTCTACCTCCTGTACCAGGATCACAGACTGTGCAATATGCTCCGCCAGGGTTCTTAATTTTTGCCATATCCTCACCCTATGAGATATGTGTTTTGAATTCGTGACCTGTAAGATCAGAAGCAGCAATAGGCACGAATCTCAAGCAAAGTAGAATACGACAGTGGTTAAAGATTGGGTTCTGAAGAGAGATGGATTTAACGTTTGGCTTTCTCATTGGTTAACTGTTTACACAGGTGTTGTATTTGGATTGCCTAGGTTCAGCTTTCTCTTCTGGAAAACTGAGAAAGCATGGGTGTAATTTATGTTTGGGGATTTGGGCCATGTTACCATGCACTACTCCCGTATATGCAGAGTACAGAAATACACTTCAGGTGCCTTCTTTATTTGCTCTCCAAATATTTGCCAGGCAGGGTCTCTCACTGAACACAGAACTAACCCAGTGGCCCTGGAACACTGACTGGCCTTTCTGCTGTCACTGTCACTTGACTTCTATGAGCTTCTGAGGATCTAGACTCAGGTCTGATCCCATTTCTGCAGCAAGCATCCTACCCACTGACCCATCTCCTCAGCCCAATTACTAGTATTTTGTTGTTGTTGTTTTGTTATTGTTTTGGTTTTTGTTTTTTACCATCTGCAATTTATTCACTTTGTATCCCAATGTAGCCCCCTCCCTTGTCTCCTCCCAGTCTCACCCATCCTCCCTCTTCTCTCTCTATGGTTCTTCCCTAGTCCACTGATAGGGCCTGACCCTAGCCTATCAGGTCTCATCGGGGCTGGCTGCATCATATTCCTCTGTGGCCTGGCAAGCCTGTACCCCCAACCCCACCACAGGGAGATGATCAAAGAACTGGCCACTGAGTTCCTTATGGAAGAAGAGGGGGATAGAAACACCTGGAGAGGACAGGAACTCCACAAGGAGACCAACAGAGAAAAAAAAAAAAAAAAAAACAAAGCAAACAAACAAACAAACAAAAAAACCACCTAGGGTCAAGCGGGCCTGCAAAGACTGATACTCCAACCAAGGACCATGCATGGAGAGGACCTAGACCGCCTGTTCAGAGGAAGCACACAGGCTACTCAATTTCTAAGTAGGTTCCTTAGTAAGGGGAGCAGGGGTTGTCTCTAACCAATTACTAGTTTTTTACCTTTTGTTTTTTAATTCTCATGTAAATTGCTAACAAGATGATATTTAGGTTTTCATAAGCAAACTGTTTGCCATTTATTCATTAAAATTTAGAGCTGGTGAGATAACGTGGCTGCTTTGATCCCTAGGAGTCACAGAGAACAAATTTGTGAAGATATTCCTCTAACTTCCTCACACATACCATGAAACATGGGCATGCAAAGACACACATATACACTAAAAGCAATAAATATGAGCTGTAGAGATGGCTCAGTGGTTAGGAGTACCAGCTGCTGTTCCTCAGGACCCAAGTTCAATTCCCAGTACACACATGGACATTCACAACTGTATTTAACTCCAGTTTCAGGGGATATGGTGCCCTCTCATGGCCTCCATGGGCACTAACCCTCACATAAACAAGATTGTTATATAGCATATTATATATAACATATAATTTTATATATAAAGATATATATACAACTTTTCACATTTTTATTTATTGCATATACATATAACAATCTTGTTATGTTATCTATAATTTTATATATAAATATATAATTGTATATATAATATATATAATTTATTATATTATATAATATAATTTATATAAATATATAATATATATTTATATAAATTATACTAAACCTATCAGGCTGGAGAGAGCGATGACTAGGTAGTTAAGGGCCCTGTGTGAAGCAGCTGACAACTGCCCATACCTGCAGCTCTGGTAAATGATCTGCCCTCTTCTGGCATCCCCAGGCACCTGCACCCAGGTGCACATAACCACCACAAACTAAATAAGTGACGTTTTACTCTATTTCCCACCATAATGAGATAGTTAATAAACCTATCAATAAAAATTCCCAATGTTTTTGTGAAATTTGCTGCAATCTTGAATATTAATCAAGGCAGTAAAGTGTTGTAGGTATTGTAATCAGCCTAATCACCGATTAGACTCCTTCCATTCTTCGGACTGAAACATAAAAGGCTGTACAACATAGCTGTGTAATTATAGGATTACATGCCTATAATCCTAGCACTTGGGAGACAACTGTGAGTTCAGGGTTAGGTTGGTAGATTTCAGGATACCCTATGGACTGTGATCCTATGTGGTTATGGTCCTGCCTATAGGTTCAGGGTGGGGGTGAGTTAACCTTCTCTTGTATGCAACAGACAAATCTTAAGCTAAATTCTGATAAATATGGATGTAAGCATCATAAGTGAGAATCAGAAGAGGTAATCAACATAGAGCCTGAATTGGGACTACCAACCTTAACTCACAAAAACAGTTCAGCCTTATCTTTGTTAAGTATGGCAAAGCTCACTGTTGTGGAATGACCAACATGGCCAAACTTTGGAAATGCTTCACAGGAGTGGTGTGGCCTAGCTTCTATATATTAGCTGTGTTTTCTACTATTCTTACATACTTACTTAGATTTAGTTGCCAAATCTAACTCAGGTTTGATTTTTTTCTCATAATCTTGTCAATATTTTTTATCAAGATAACATGCCATCATTTTAAAAAGTAGGGATAATCTTACAGCTCTTAGTCTTAATACTGCACTATTATTCTATCTTTACTTTTGCATTTGTACCTGTGCAAGTCAGAGACAGAGACAAATGTGGAATCATATGGACCTCCTACCAAAAAGCTGAGACAAATGGTATAGACCAATACATATTTCATAATTGTTTATTCTTAAATTACAGAGAGAACACTGAAACTATGTGTGGAAATTACATCTTTCTGTGTGTATACAGAAGAGTGCAGAGTGCATGGCTAGGCATACTCGGTTATGAGGTTATGTGAACGCCAGAAACTGCTTTGATATCTACCTCTATTGCTCTCTACCTTAGTTTTCGATTAAAATGGGATCTCTCACTTGAATCTACAGTTTGCTAAAATGCCAAGATCCTCCTGTTTCAACTTCCCCAACATTGGAGTTAAATACAAGGCCATCAAACTCTATATTTAAGGGGGGGGGGGGTAAAAGGTCCTCGGGCTTACACAGGAGCCATCTCCTCGGTCACCTCTTCCTTTTTTTTTTCCAAGTAAACTTGCAGACCCCCCCCCCCAAAAAAAAAGTGTAGTCCCTATACAAATAACATAACAGCAATAGGACAGAGGAAGTATTCTGGATTATACTACTTCTCTTCCTTACCATGCAAAATTAGAACTATTGCATTCCTTAGAAGGTCAATTTAACAAATAATATCCAGGCAAAATATATATAAGGGAAAAATTATCATTGGTGGTGGAAATTACCACAACATTCTAATACTTTCTATGTTAAAAAAAAATTCACATAATGGATATAATTTAAACATCACTCTGTGTTTGGGAGATGGAGACAGGAGAATCAGAATTTCAGGGTCATCTTCAGCCATAGTGAGTTTGAAGATAGCAGGGACTACATGAAAACTATCTCAAAAAGAAAAATATCATAAAATGAATTTCTAAATGATTTGACAATTTTTAAGAGAACTTTAAAATATTCATGCTTTCAGATAAGAAATAAAATAATCATATGAATGCTACATGGATTTTTTTTTCTGCTGTTCTGCTTTCAAAACTATTTAATGACAGACATCTGGTAACTTACAAACTCAGGATTTAATATAGAACTTATTTAAAAGCATACCTAAAAATTTAACTTGTAGAGCTGTGGATAGAATACATAACTATCACACATGAATTCTAATCTCCAAATTAGTGATAAATGCCCTATGGGGAAAAAAATGTTGTCAGCCTAGTTTCTCTGGGGAGCCGGCCAGCAGTGTCCTCAGTGTCCTGCTCTGTGGATCAGGCTGAAGCTGGTCCCGAGACTCCATGGAATATACTCCCTAGACTGGTCCGAACTTTCACTGACTCTCCTGACTCAGCCTCCCAAGCATTAGGATTACAATTGTAAGGCACAACAGTTTCTTAAACATACTTTCTTAGAGCCTAAATGTGGAAGAGCTGAATATAAACCTCTTATCCCAATAGGGGAGGTGACGGAATGTAAAGGGTTCAGACTTGTAATTTTGAAGTCATTAACTTGAGCCTTATTTCCAAATACCCGCAACAAAACACTTTAAAAATTAATCCAGGCCCCTTCATTTTATATAAGGACAAAAAAAAAGATCTGCAACAACAAACAAAAGCAAAACTGCAGCTGCAATGGGTCACTCGACGTTGACAGGCGGCCAGATCCACATGTGTGAGACAGCTTAGTTCAAGAGTCCAACATTCAAAGCAGCATCTCTTTGTTAAATTGCTATGGATAAACACAAAGAACACTCAAGCGTTTGCCGAATTACTGTCATTTTTATGCAAAATGGAGAAATACGAACATACAGTGCTGAAAGTGTAAAGACTTTTCCTTACTCTGCTTCCGAGTGGAAAGTGTGTAATGCTTAGTTCTCATTGAGCCCAGGGACACATTCTATGCACATCATGCAAGCATTTGTGACAATCTTGAAGTATTTTTGTATTTAACATGAAACAGTGTGACCTTTGATTCCCTTTCAGTGGCTGGCTTTAGACTGTTGTCCTCTGAACAGTTGTGCTTTCTATTACATGCTGTCATTCAGATTCCCTCTGTCATCCCTATTATTAGAAGTCTCTGTTGTAGACTTCACAATTCAAAAGAATGGTGGTTCTAAGAGTACCTTATAATCAGCACAAGGTTTAAGAGCCACCATCAAAATTAACCCTCAAAAACAGAGAAGAACTCACTTGGCAAACATCAAGGGGCCAGACAAGAGATATGAAAGAACCTTTGAATGTGCCAGGGGACCAACTCCAGTTTTCATCAGGAATTTTTGAAGTCAAGAAGACTCAAAAATGTTCAAAGTTGCACAGGGGTGCACACAAGCCTGTCAGTGTACGCAGGATGATGCTAATCACAAAAAAAGGACCCAAGCTGCCACTTAAAATGTGTACAGTTCCTTGCAATATGCTATTAATTAGTTACCAGACTTGATTCCAGTTGAAATAGACCTGGGTTTTTAATGGAGTAAGAACAAACCAGACAATCTTCACAATAAAAGTACTATTAACCTCAAAGAATTAACTTGCAAATCACAAATTCTGACAGTGGCAAAACATTATTCTACGTCTGTGAATGAAAATAAATGGACCATCTTGTTATGACTTCCACAAACTTCTGAGGTACTCACTTTAGCAGCACTAATGACTGTGGCCGTGTAGGACTGAATGTTGTCTCCACAGGCTCCGCCACGAGACTGGTGACATCGGATCAACTGGGGAAGGGGTTGGGGAGAGAAGAGCAGAGTCATTTTCTAGTAAGCGATCAAACAGTGGCTATTTACCATACATGATAATGACGGTGGAGAGAGTGTTTGCATGAGTGTATTGGAGAAAAAAACAGCTAAAAGCCCTGCTGAGACATGTGCCACTCAGGCAGTTTTAAAAATCTTCTGGTGCCACTCAGGCAGTTTCATGTTCAACTATGGTTCTAATTGCACGAGGAACAGACTTGAAGAATTCATAAACTCTGAAATGGTGGGATTCAGGGTCTGGCAGCCTTTCCACAAATAAATTTTAAAAACATAATCAAAGGACTTACACATAACTTCCCAACATTAAATATTTGACACACTAGCAAATCAGATGTTTTCTCCTCCTAATTCCTTTACAATGATTATAAAAGAAAACCTAAAACAACAAGCAAAACATTCTAGGATATTTGCATATCCAGTTGTGTCTGTGGGAAGGTGGACAGAGTGTGCAGAAAGCAACTGTGTCCGTTCATTAACCAGCTGCTTCAGAGGGCCCACTGCACTTGCCACTTGGGACAGGGGACAGACTAAACTGCCATTGTCCATGTGAATCGCAATTTTGATTCTCACATGTTCAGATGAAACTCGGGATAAAACTCCTCATTGGCCACAACATACTTGTATTTACCAAAAATAATTATAATTAAGATTCACATGCAACCTTTTAAAGTAGGACAGCAAAAGCAGAGCATTAGAACAACGGGTATTTTCAAAGCCTGTGAAATTAATAAAGGATGAGCTGCACTGGATTCTGCGGCACAGATTAGCATACAATCCTTTTATTCCTGACTCACATGTGTGTAACTCCCTCACAGTAGTAGGAATATAACAGGCTGGGACACCTTACATCTGGTATGTAATGGATAGATTTCAAGGTGCCTGGTCATTAAACGTGTTTGTCAAAGAATAAACCATGGAAAGTGACTATTTTAGCAATTGGAAACAATAGCTTGTCCATTCAACCACAAATCCACATTCAGAGAATTATGAAAATTATTCCTCTGCTGCCTCCTGCTGCTTAAGCAGGGAAAGGCAGTATTGTGCAAAGGCTGAAACCTCACTGTTCCCTACGACAAGTAACCAAAATACTCCTGGACAGCCAGCATCCTTAACCAGTAGGCCATCTCGCCATCAGCACAAGAGCAAATTATATAAAGGTTTTCATGTTAAAATTAAACTAAAATTATTTAAAGACAGATGGAATAATAACCATTATAGTCAAAAATATAACATACAAAAAGAACATTTTGATCATTTAAAAAAAAAATCAACATACAAATGGATGAATTTCTAGAAAAAAAACCTTAATGAAAATGATCATAAAAGAGCAAATATGTTACTTTCTGTATTAGGCAAACATAAACAGCTGCATGTATATATTATATATTGGCACATAAAAATAAATATATAAAAATATACACAATTAAACATTAAATAGAAGTCTAATCAAAATGAAGGAAGAACAAGGGGGAAAGAAAAACAACAAATAAAAATAAATATGATGAGCTGGAGAACTGGTTCAGCAGATAAGGGCATTTGCCACCAATCCTGAGGTCAATTTCCAGAAACCACATGGTAAAGGAAGACAGATAACTCCTCTAAATTGTGGTCTGCCCCATACATGCTAATGCACATACATACAAAGAGACACATATATATACACACCAATAAAAATTGCAAAATAGGGCTGGAGAGATGGCTCAGGTTAAGAGCACTGGCCGTTCTTCCAGAGGTCCTGAGTTCAATTCTCAGTAACCACATGGTGGCTCACAGCCATCTAGAATGAGATCAGGTGCCCTCTTCTGGCATGCAAGTGTACATGCAGACAGAACATTGTATACATAATAAATAAATAAATCTTTTAAAAAAATTGCAAAATAAAAAAGGAACTTAGGAAATCCCTCCATGAAGACAGATGAACTGTACCCGGCCTCTGGTTTGCCTGTTGAGCTGGAACAGGTGAGAATTCTGTGACTTCTTTTGAATTGTAGGAACTGAACAAATAAACAATGCTGAAATATCAGTCTACCACGCAATGGAAGAGACATATGATCATGAAATGGGGACAGGAGAGGACCTGGTACTAGTCTCAATGTAAACACCTTATTTTTACAGGTACAAATATGTTTGCTTTCTTGTTTTCAGTATGGAAGTGACATGTATGTGTATACTAGATGTTTCCAAAAAGAAACACACTGGAGTACAAAAGAGCCACAGGAAAAAGCTGACTTTCTACTAATGTTGCATGTTAAAATCCAGAAGGAGACTAGAGAGGCAGTGCAGACTGCTCTTGCGAAAGAGCTGCTCCCAGAAACTCCATTAAGTGACCCACAACCTCCTGTAATTCCAGGCCAGAAAAATTCAACAGCTCTGGCCCCCTCGAGTACCTGCACTCATATGTACAAACCCACACATGGACACAGACACCACAGACAAATGAAAATAATGAAATAAAATCTTTAATAAACAGGAAAAGAAAGGAGAACTGGCAAGATGGCTCTGTGGGTACGAGCATTTGCCATACAACTATGAAAACCTGAATTAAGAAAACCACACATGCCTCAGTGAAAATGTGCTGTGATAAGTCAAGACAGGAGGATCACTGAGGCATGCTGCCACCAGCCTCGCTCCACGTCCAGAGGGAAGCCTCATCTCAAAAAATGAGACAAAAAGCAATAGAAGGTGACAGCTGACATCATCCACACCCCACACACAACACACAAACACATGAACATACATGCACAACACAAGTACATAAAAACACACACATAAATAAACACACATACACGAAATCAAACACACTAACTGAAAACATTCTTCTAAAATTCGGTTCAACTCTGCAATGACAAACTAGGCCTCATAAACAAAACTATCCAAAACTGAAAATATCACTACTCATATCTTAGTACTGTTATTTACAACTCCTTCTGTGCATGACGGCACATACACCTTGCCTGGTACCTGTATGTGACAGGAAACATTATTCACATGTGTATCTGCAAAGGCCATGCAACTATCAAGGGACTTCATTCACCTCAAACAGTATATAACTAATTGCACCTCCAACTTTAAATGTGCAGCTTTCCCTATGTGGGAATCTACTCATAAGTGCCAAGAGACAGTTTACGCACATTCTTTGTGGATGTCTCCAACACTCAAAGGAAATGCATTACAGATATAAACATTAGGAGACACTATTATGTCACCCTATTTAACTGTAAAGCTCTTGAACTGTTTGAAAAGAATCATGTGAAGAGCTATTTTTACGGGAAAATGAAGAGACCAGACACGAGGAACATTGTAAATAGAGCACTCAGCAACATGCAAAATATCTTAATTTTTGCAGACAGGCTTTTGGAAAAAGAATTAAAGACTTTATCTTGAAAACTTATTTTCATCAGCCCATTCTTGATTCTGAGCATTCCAGAGGCCAGTTGATTTACGAGTTCTGTGGCTTTACCAAGTGCTTATGCTACGCACCAGATCCTGCTTTTGTCAAGAACTATTTCGTATTATTTCATAATATTCTCAAGACACAATAACCATGTAACCAAGGAAAATGAAACAAGAATGCTAATCCTGAAAGCCAACAGTACATTTTAGACTTTATAAATAATATAGAATAATTTACAGACGAGTCCTAAGTGACATAAGAATTTATATCATCTTGCATAAAAAAAAAATCAATCTATGTTTTTGAAATATAATATCATATACAGCAACCTTTACATACTATGACAATCCTGATATATCAACGCCTGTATGTGCTTTAATTATTAAAACAAATAGCTGGACAGTAGGATCTAGTTGTTGACCATATAAGGCCAATACAATTGTTCCATGTACAATGAATCTCAATGCTTAACTTTAATATTAAATAATCTCTAGGAAGATGGGCTTGGTGATGCACACCTTTAATGCCAGCACTCAGGAAAGCAAGGCAGGCGGATCACAGTGAGTTCTACAATGTGAGTCTACAATGTGAGTCAAGGATAGCCAAGACAAGAAAGAAAAAAAAAAAGAGAGAGAAGAGAAAGAGGAGAGGCAAGGGGAAGGGAGGGGTATGAAGGGGAAGAGAAAAAGGGAAGGGAAGGAGAAGAAGGGGAAGGGAAGAAGGAGAAGAGGAAGAAGGAAAAAGGGAAGGGGAAGAAGGGAAGGAAGGAAGGAAGGAAGGAAGGAAGGAAGGAAGGAAGGAAGGAAGGAGAGAAAGGAAGGAAGGAAGGAAGGAAGGAAGGAAGGAAGGAAAGAAAGAAAGAAAGAAAGAAAGAAAGAAAGAAAGAAAGAAAGAAAGAAAGAAAGAAAGAAAGAAAGAAAGAATCCTTGGGAGAACAGTACTATGCACAAGCCAGGCTAGAACATCAAGGCTCTAGAAAGCCTTTATTTAAGCTATCACGTAGCGACACATGCTGCTAGTCCACATCATGTCCAGACTGAGACTAAGAGATGCTGACACAAAAACAATGAGATATTCTGTTTGAGGTAAAAGCTCACCATATAAGGCAGACCTAGGAAGCCCAGGATAGTCTTGATCTTGAGGTAACTCTCCTGTCTGTGACTCCTAAGTGCTCGATATACAGGTATGTGGAACCAGACCAAGCTATGAATCCCTAAGGGTCAGATTAGCAACTGCACACATAAAATAAAACATTCGCTTCAGGTATTCACCAGCAGAGCATCAATTCGGAGTGCAGAAAGCCCTTCCACAGCCACACGATTACAACTAACACAAACCTGGGCCACACCTTACCTTATTTTCTGCATAAGCAAGCCAGCGGCTCCCAAGGGCAATGGGATTCATATTTGGCCCAGGACAAGGATAACAACCTGCAAGTTCAAAAAAACAGTATTAAGAAATGTCACAGTAACTTTTCCATGAATGCATCATTTCTTGATTTAAAAAAAAAAAAAACAAAACATAAAAATCATAAGCTATTTTTTCAAAACCCCATAAAATTCAAATAAATGCTTCTTTTGAGATGGGGGTCTCTCTATGCACTCCTGGCTGTCCTAGAACTCACAATGTAGAGCAGATTGGCCTTGAACTCACAGCAATCTGGCAGTTTCTGCCTCCCAAATACTAGGATCAAACACATGCACCACCATGCCCAGCCCAGTATTCATTATTTTAATACTTAAATGATCTATACTTTTTTATCTTCCTGCCACTGAAGCAGGAAGACCTGAAAATAACATTCTACTAAGCATTTATACTGTAATTCCTGAAGAAAAAGTAGAAGTTACAAGGAAATAACTTAAAGTTCTTAAGTATAAAGCTTTTAGATTTAAAAAGAACTTCTGAAGAAAATAGAAAGCATAAAATAGGTGCAAGAGATTATAGTCACATACAAACATATCAGAAAGAAAATGATGGTGGAAAAAAGAAAGGCAAAGTAAAGTGACCAATGAGCATTAATAAACTCCAAAAGATGGCTCTGTAGTACAATCTGGAAAACTAGATAATGCTATGTATTTCTGCTAGCACTCTGTTACATTCTTCTTGGTTAGAGTGACGGTTACTGATACTAATAAATACTTCTATGATGAATTTGCTGTTTATTACTTTCTCTACTCTTGACTACGGGTAGACAGGGTTAAGAATTTGTTCCTCCTCTCTTTACTATTGACTCTCTACTGCCTATAGGTGTCTAGGAAATGGTGTGGTGCTGTCAGTGCTGATGGCATATTTTTCTGGCAACAGAAAACACAGATACTCTGTACAAAGACACACCGCACCACAAATTCCCCACAAGGAAGTATGCAGTACTTACAGATGAATTTAGCCTTGTTTCTATTATAATGATACACTGGAATGCTAACGGCACATTATGCTAATCAGCAGCATCAGCTTTAGAAGCCAGAGCAAGCTTTAGGCAGGAGCATCAGGACTCCCAGGCCAGGCTAATACTGAAGAGTGAGCTGAGGCCAGTCAAGACTACCGTCTATCTCAGTTCTCATAACTACTCTCCCGATGGCAGATGTGATCACATTGCTCCTTCACGTGTATGACTGCAACCTAATGAAGAAATATACATCCTGGATCCGGGTTCTGGAATTCCAGCGGACCTCAGGAATTACAGGCTAGTCGAGTGAAAGCAAGCTGTTTCTGCTCGCTGAAACAGTATTTTATAGCTGGCTATAGCCACACACCACTATCCTACCCTATCCCACAAGTGAAGGGGGTAGGGGGAAGAATCTCTGCAAGAGTAAATTCAAAGATGTTTACAATGCCATTTAACACAGTAAGCAGAGACAACTGGCCGTTAGAAGAACCTTGGCTTTCAAATTTAAAAGAAGATAGAATCCCACTCAGCTCCTCTCCCACGGCACAGGAACTGGATCACATAGTTAACCTGAGCCTCCAGGAGGCTGAGAAAGAATGACTGCTAAGAGTTTAAGACCAAACTGGCCAAACTTCTTCCATAGTAAAGAATCTTAAAAGTACAAGCAAGTGATGCAGTTTTACCTGATATCAGGCCAGAAAGTTGTTCCTAACAGGGGCATAACTTGAACACTTTTAGAAACACAAAAGTTCAATACTTCAAGCCTGTTAACCATGAAGATCAAACTGGCCTCAAACTCTGACATCTGCATCTTCCTTCCATATGTCAAGACAGGGGCTAAAGGCAAGCAACACGTCTACAGCATCTCAGGCAACTGATCGTTAACAGACGTACCCAGGCAAGGCAATGGTCAAAGATGCTCCCTAAGAGCATTTTTTTTTTAAATGACACCATAAAGGTGAAAAAGAAGAGCTAGAGAGATGTATTGTAGTTGAGAGCATTTGCTGCTCAGGGTTCAATACCAGTGCCCACAGGGCTCACAAACAGCTATAAACTCCAGTTCCAAAGATCAAGGCCCGGCTCTGCAATCTGTGTGCAGGAGGTACACATGTGATAAAAAGACACACATGCAGGCAAAACACTATTGCCATAATAAAAATAAAGTGAAAAGACAACCAGCAGAATGGAGGAATATACTTGTAATTCATTAAGTGACAAATGACTTATTTTAGAAAGTAAGAAAAATCTGACAACTCAATACTGAGAAATTATTTTCAATTGAAATATGAACTAAAATACACATCATCAAATATATGAAAAGTAATCCCTGACCATCAAGAAAATATATATAAATATAAAAACTTGGAACCAAATGTTCATACCCAAGAGATCTGAAAACACATACACATAAAAACAGGAGTGTGTGCTCAGTGTCATACAAACAAACCTGTAATGTTCCAGGAGGATTACAAAGCAGTTTCTGTTAATCAGATAACAGACACATGTAACTGCCAGGAAATTTAGGATTATTATACGTGGAAGAAGTAAGATCTGAATACTGGGTGTGGTGACGCATGTCTATAATCCATTCTTGGAAGAGGCAGGAGAGTAAGTACTTCCACATCAGCCTGGGCTATGTAACACCCAGTCCAAAAAAGAAAAAGAGGAAGGAAAGTAGGCCGGCAGTGGGCGGAGGCGGAAAGGATAATGAGGGCTGCAAACAGAGCTGAAGGCTATCTCTAAGTTCTGTTAGACACCAGTCATAAAGATCACACATTAGATGAGATTAAGAAAATCTGAACACAACCCAGTAAAAGGCAAACATACTTTAAATAGCAATTTGAGGGTTTACTGAAACATTATACAGCTGATTAATGGCATTTTAAGATTTTATGAGCTCTGAGAAACACTGTACAGTGTTTTCTGTTCGTTTTGCATGTATATCAAACACATGAATTTCAGCACGCCTTCCAAAAATTCAATAGGTGGGACTCATGTGCAGGTAACAGAAACATCTCACAGTTTAGTTCATGGCACATGTTCATATTTGCAGAATTTTCTACACAGGACCAGAAAACAGAGTAGCCCTCTTTACCTTCTGAAAAAGCCAAAGTTGGAGGTAAATTTAACATACAAACTGACCTAGATGACAGGATTACCAATCCTTTCTGGTGTATATTACAAACATATGGGGTGTGGTCGTTCCAAGCCAGCCTGGATAAATACCAAGGCACTCCTTCCCCAAATGAAAAATATATAAAGCAAGCGAGCAAAGCTGCTCTTACCCAAAATTTTAACTTTGCATTTTAAAGCTACTTCAAACTCATTTCCATGTGTTCCATGTGTTGCTCATCATTAACATAAACAAAGAACAGACATTCTAACACTAATAACATTAGGACTGCACAAAATAACTTTCCTTCTCAAACTGAAAACACGGGCAGATGCAAGGAGACTGTTTATCAGACACCCTGGTCTCTCTGGAGACTCAGTATCTGCCTTTCAACTTCAAAGGATTCTTAAAATGACTGCTAATGACATCTATCAGTCTTTGTCTTTTGTTTTCCTAATCATACCTGGGTTTTGAATTTCCACATTGGACAGCTGCTCAAGACCAACTTTTCTGTACATCCAAACACAAAGGTGTCTCCTTTCTCGTCCTATTGGATACGTTCTGTTACCAGTTCTCTATCAGCTCCCTTTACCTGCTCCATCCACTCTTTGGCACAAATCCCCATGATACCTGCTCTGATGGGCACAGCAGACTCTGCTCATTTTACAATACTTTCATTGTACTCGGGCATGGCTGAGGCCTTCAGCTAAGAATGCATTATGCAAGAGCTTCCTATCCTGCTTTAGCAACTAAATGTCTGTGTGATCAAACGACATCCTCATTAAGCAGAGATCTTGTGATTCTGCACAGGGCGTGATCTTACTTCTTTCAATACCAGGCTGGGGATGCAACTGAGTTGGTACAGAGCTTGCCCGCCCCATGCCAATCTTCAGCACTGCAGAAACCAGGCATGGCAGGCCTGTAATGCTATAGCACTCCAGAGATGGAGGCATGTCAGTAAGGAATTCAAGGCCATCCTGAGCTGCTCGAAACTTTGTTTAATACACAAACAATCACACCAAGTGTGAACAGACAAAGACATATGCTACAGGCAAATGAGCTGCCTCAACAGCCATGGATAGCAGCATCTGCAGACTCCTCCGTATCAATCTCCCAGCACAGAAAAACATGTGTGAGGTCTGTAAACTTAAATACAGAAAAAGGGCTGCTGGTGGAGCAGAAATTAGAGAAAAATAAGCTTCATTAGCATTCTGTTTTCACAGTATTTGACACTTGCATAAAAATTAAATCACTCAATTTGATTTGAAATGGTTTTTATTAGTGGTAGTGGTGTGTTACAAGCCGTAGCTTGTATGGTTTGCTTTGTTTATAGGGACACTCTCAATAGCTATACACACTATGTAGCCCAGGCTTCAAATTCACAGCAATAATCTTGTTTCAGCTTTCCAAAGTGCTAGAATTTCAGGTGTAAGCCACCACCATGCCTAAAATCATGCCTTAAATCACTTGAGTAAAGCTGTTAATTCACAGCTTCAAATCACCTGCATAAACTCAATCCCTACAGTTTACAGGTTAAATAAGCAATACTGAGATTGACAATTACTTTTGTAAGTATGAAATGAGACCTGTCACGGGGACAAAGAATCATTCATTAGGAAGTTTACCAGCGCAGTGGAGAAAGACTACAAATGCCATCAGGAGGACCAATGTGACAAGTTGAAAAGATTTGTTGGTAGTGGTTTCTAAACACTTAATGATTTCTTTGGATTTGCTTGTTTTCCTTTGATTTGGATTTTTTTTTGTTTGTTTGTTTGTTTCTTTTTCAGTACTCTATACTGAGCCCAAAGCCTCACACAACCTACAGAAAAACCTAATAAATACATATATTGCCAGCTTTTTTAAATTTTTTATCCTAAAAGTTTCTCACTAAGTGTCCCAGAAAGGACTTGAACTTGTAATCCTCCTGCCTCATCCTTCTGAGTAGTTGCTGAGGACGAATTTGGGGTTTTCTACAATCTCTATTAAGACAGGCTTTAAGGCAAGCCCAGAGAGTGTGTGGGAATCCCCTGGTGACAGAAGGCAAGACAATGATGGTTTAACTATCGGCTGTATGCACTTACACAGGGCCAGAAAGGCTGCAGACACTTACTCGTCTCTTCTTGTCACAAACACTTTAAGTAGCACAGGAGAACTAAGACCTAAGTACAATTTGCTCCAGATACGCAGTGGGTCCAGAAACCCATATATGAAAATGCCCCACTGAGACAGGCAGACAGACAGACAGATACAGGACAGGGGAGACAGCAACAAAGAGAGCCCCAGGAAGGAATGCCTACTACCCTAGCACTCAGAGGCTGATGCATAGACAGCAACCGTAGTATCATCATGAGCTACAAAGAAAGACCCTGCTGAAAGAGGAGAGACAGGACAGGAGAGGAAAGGAAAGGAAGAGGCAGGAAGGGAACAGTTGGAGGGGGAAGAGATGGTAACAATACTAATATTAATATAAAGAAATTTCATTGAGTGTAGAGAATAAATCACCAAATCTAGCTTCATCGGTGCATGAAAATATTATTGAGTTTACTTATAATCTATATTTTTAATAAATAATTAAAATTGTGAGTTTTTTACTTTAATTCCAATGTCACAAAATAATTACAAACCTCTGTGTCTTTTAAATCAAACATTAAGGCCAATATATATTTGTATATATATAAATATATATATATATATATTCATTTTTTTATTCATTTATTTTCATTCATTTATTTTTTTATATGTTGCTAGAGCTCATGTCCAGGGCTGTATCATTTTACAAAGCAAAAACTCTACCAATAAAACATATCATGAGCCTACCTGGCTGAATTCTTTGTCCATAAGGAGGGTATATTTTAAAGTGTATGTTAAATAAACTACTGAAATTTTAGCTAAATATCCACTATGAGAAGTGTATAGTAACTCATTAAGTTAAGGCAGGAGGGCAGCTGGAGATAGGTGAGTTCAAGACAAGCCTGTCACATATATGAGGATATGGGCAGCAAAAATTCTAAAAATAAAAAAGAACAAGAAGGAAGATACAGGTAGGAAGTTAGGGTGGACTTATGAGGAAATGGAAGGTGTGAATATGCTCAAAGTACACAATATAAAAATCTTAAAGAATTAATAAAAATATTATACAAACGCTCTAAAAAGTCTTTTAGTCATTGCTGGCAAGCCCCTGACACTCCAGCTCCAGGCACCAATGTCCTTTCCTTACACAAAAGTGCAACTACACAGTCACATACAATAACTCCTCATCAAACCCAATGATGCCTCCACCACAATGTTTTCATGTTCTAAGACCTTGAATTGATAGAGATGTAACAAACACGAAATACAAACTTAAGTCTAATTAAATGGGTCACAACAGAGATCCTTAACACTGAAGAAGCCTTTAAAAATAGCAAAATGTTAAAAATATTTATAAACTTAAAAAAACACTTCAGAAGGCTTCACACACATTTCAAACAGCAAAAACCAACCAACCAACAAACAAACAAAAAACTACTGCTCAAATGTGTAGGGAAGCTGAATACCCAGATCTGACTGAAATATCACCCCGTTCTAACTAATCTGCTGGCACCCACAGAAGTACACACACCTCTACTGTCCTACTGATCTTACAAAAGGAACAAATGAAGTGATGTATTAAGTATAATGGGTGTGCAACACAGAGAAAACGATTAAAGGCATAAGGAATAGAACCGTCTTACAATTCCTCATGATCCACAAAATCTGAAACATGCACTATGTCAAATTATTATATATGATGGTATGTAGTAAGGATGTATTTAATTATCTATAATAGATAATGCAGTTATAACAGAGAAAACACCCGTATAGAAAAGGAATAATGCCTACAATCCTACTAACTGAGGCTTGATACATGGTAACTACTCAGTAAACATCTGTGTCAGTCCAAGTTCATTTCAAAATTGAGACCTGTTAGGCTATTTCTGTAAGATATACAGAACAGACTCTTTGAAAAAAAAAACAAACAAACAAAGAGAACAAATAGTGAACTACAGGAAAAAGAAAAATTAAAAAACTTCTGTATCCCAGCCTCACTGGCATTTTGGACACCTAACTGACCCCTGTTGGCAATTCCAGGTTGTATCTGTCATGCACAACTCAGCACCCCAGGACTGCACACTCCAGTTCCTTAAAATTCAACTCACCCCTCACTTTCCCCTCCTATTCCAATCCTCTGTCGCTAGCACTGAATTTGTGTTTGGAACAGTTTGGAACTAGACTCTATACTAATTTCTGAACTCCTGACAGCAATGAAAGTCATGGGGAAAGGCAGAGGGAGAGGGTAAAATACTCCTACCAAATTAAAACCCTTCAAACTAGAAAACCCCATCACTTCTTTAAGAAAACCCCATCACAATTGTGTAAATCACATTACACATTGTGATTTCACAACAGCTCCATAAAATAGCTCCAGGAAACAGCGAGAACCACTCGGTTTGAATGTGTAAGGAAAACCTTACACTATATACAGAAATACAAGGAAAGAGCTTTAGCGTGATAAAATTCCATCCTAAAATTAGAAGCTACTGAGAAATGGCTCCCATGAGAAACACAGGAGACTGTGTCCAAAACCCACTGCTGACAGCATCAAGTCAGCAACAGAAACACAAATGCACACAACAGGAAGTAAAATGATTTGGTACATACTTGTGACAAAAAATTTTTTTGTGAAAGTACAGCTATCAAAGGCAGCGATTTTCTCCTGCAAGACTACGACGAGGATCCTAAAATTAGAGGGGAAAAACCAGAATGGATATATGAGTGAATATGAAATTCTATTAATTGAATCACAATTAAATCATACTTTTAAAATAAAACACTTCTAATGCATAGGGTAGAAATATCACAATCATAAAAACAATGAAATCTTTAATATAAACAAAGAAAGTGACAGAAATTGTATAGCTAAAAAGAGATCTATAAACAGTTTCATTTTCGTGTTCTCAAATTAAACAGCCAACACAGAGAATAAATAATGTTAACCAGTTGGCTACTTACTACAAGTAGTGTTCAATGATATTTTTAAGTCAGAAGTAAATATAAAATGACTTTATGTACCCTATCGCTTTAAAAGATTACAGAAGTTCTCAGCACACCAATAAGATCTGAGACACTCGCCACTCAGCAGAAGTAAGCCATTTCTAAAAGGGTCAACATATTAAAATTTAGTAGCAATACAGATAAACAGTAATTTCAGAGAACAAAATTTACAAATAATCAGGGCGATAATTTGGAAAATAAGGAATGTATAATTAAGCTATAATTTTAAAGTTCTAAAGTGATATTCCTAACATATATTCCAAATATTAAATTACAGTTTACTGTTTCTTGTAGAATACAAAATCCCACAGTTAATAATTATTTCAAAAAAAATCATCCTTTTACTAGATAATCCACATTAACTATTTTTCAAATCTTAGCAGGTAAAATTGAAAAAACTGATGGAGAAAATAGTAAGATCTACTATGTAAAACAACCTACAGCAAAAATGAGTCTTATAAATTAACTTGTCTTGTATATAACTTGTATTTGCTGATTCAGAAAATTTCTAAATACTAGTATTTGTTATGCTTTTGATATTATTATTCAGCTCTGTCTGTTCAAAGTCTGCACCATTTGCTAGACATTTTATTGTTTCTAAGTTAATAATCTGTTGAAAGCTCTATAAGAGGCAGAGAAAGTATCGCCTTAAAGGACTTAATACAAAACTTCATTTGTGTCCTATGACCAAAGAATCCACAAACCGCAAACCATCTCAAACCCTCATCAATTCCTCACACTCCTAGCACTCTTACAGAGGAAAGATCAATGCCCATTTTATAGCCCTACAAACAATATCTATCATTTAAAAAAACAAATAATGGAGCACATGAAAAGAAACTCTGGCCCATTACTAAGAGTCAGTAGACTCTTCCCCGGTTATCAGGAGCCTATAATCCACCCAGGAACTTGGAAGGCTGAGGCAGGATGGTCAATAGTTTGATACCATCACAAACTACATATAGTAAGATCCTATCTGAAGAAAATGAGCAACGACATACACACAAACACAAACAGACAGACAGACCACATACATGATTACCAGAAACAGTTCTGAATTCTGTAGGGGTAGGGAGCTACAAGACTTGGGTGCTCTCTTTCTTTCTCTATATTTCTTTTAAAACTTCTATGCTAATTAAAAACAGAATTTATAAAATTTGCAGGCAAATGGTGGGATCTAGAAAAGATTATCCTGAAGCAGATAGACACACATGCTATGTACTCACTTATAAGTTGATAATAGCCATATAATATAGGATAACATGCTAACATCTATAGTCCTAAGGAAACTAAACAATAAGGAGAACCCTAAGGAGGATGCTTAATCCTCATTCAGAAGGACAAACAGGATAGACATCAGAAATAGGAGAAGACAAGAAACAAGACAGGAACCTCTACCCAACAGGTATCAAAGCAGATACTGAGACTCATAGCCAAACCTTTGGCAGAATGCCGAAATCCTTATGGAAGAAGAGGGAAATAGAAAGACCTGGAGGGGACAGGAACTCCACAAGGAGAACAACTGAGCCAAAATATATGGGTCTTGGGGGACCGATACTCCAACTAAGAACCATGCATGAAGACCTAGAGCACCTGTTCAAAGAAAGCCCATTGGCTGCTCAGTTTCCAAGTGGGTTCCCTAGTAAGGGATACAGGGGCTTTCTCTGACATGAACTCAGTGGCTGACTCTTTGATCATCAACCCCTGGAGGGTGCAGCCTTGCCAGGCCACAGAGGAAGATGATGTAGCCAGCCTTGATGAAACCTGAGAAGCTATAGTCAGATAAAAGGGGAGGAAGTCCTCCCCTATCAGGGGACTAGGGAAGGGGCATAGGGGAGAAAAAGGAGGGTGGATGGGACTGGGAGGAGATGGGGGGCTGCAGCAGGGATAAAAAGTGAATAAACTGTAATAAATAAATATATAAATAAAATTTTTAAAAAGCAGATCTTTCCCACCAATTTATGGCCTTTCATAACTTTTTAGATTAAAAAAACTATAAATTGAGAGATTGTGAAACTATAAAACATATATAAAAACACAAATAATTCCACGTACCTTAAAACTTTAAGTGAAACTATGTAGAACACAAATAGTTCAAGAAAGACAGCTAATACCAAGAGCATCCCTAGTCACTATGGTACATGCACCTAAGACCGTGCATTAAATAGCCACATGTTAAGAAAACATAACCATACAATTACATGAGACCCAGAACTCAAAATAAGCAAATAACACTAAAATACAAAGGGGAGGCAGGAGGCAGGGTAGGAGGTTTTAAGCTCCGCACTTACGACACTCGCTGCAGAAGCATAAGGACCTGGGTTAGAATCCCCAAAACTCATGCAGCAATTGAAGCCTTTCTGTAATTCCAGCTTTATAAGAAAGGAGAAAAGCCCAGAGAAAGGAGGCTATTGAAACTAGCCAGAACTGAGAGTGCTAGGTTAACCCTGCCTCAATCAACAAAGCACAAAAACGTCAGCAGATGATTCCTGATGATTCCTGGCCTCCACTCCCTTGACTACATACTTTCATGGACACCTGAAAACACACACACATCATACACATATGAAAAACAGGAGGGAAAGTGGGGCCTGTAATCCCAACAGTTTGGAGGGTATCGGTGGAGTTTGAAATACAGCCTCTACACAGTAAGGTCCTGTCTAAAAACAGAAATGAAACAACTTGTGTCTGGCATTCCACCAACTACAATAAAAAGAATCTATAATTAAAAATAAAAATGTATAGAATGATGACAGAAAAGAAGCAAGAATTCCCACCTTGTCCTTCACTAGACACGCTACCGTCATCCCAAAGACTAAATGCAGATGCTACAAACAGCACCTCCACAAATAAAACAGCCTAATGGCAAGTGCCAACCCATATCCACTAACACAGTGTGAAGTGTTTGGAGGGGGAGGTCTTTCAAGACAGGGTTTCTCTGGGGAGCCTTGGCTGTCCCGGACTCATTTTGTAAATCAGGCTACCCTCAAACTCACAGAGATCCACCTGCCTCTGCCTCTAATAATTTGTTTTTTGTTTAGAATTTGAATCCTAAACAGCCTGGGTATCTGCTCCCAGAACTGGCTGTTACTTAGATCTACTTGTCTTTTTTTCTCCCCATCAGATATTAGAAATTATTGCACCAAAACACAGTCAATTTTGATCAAATCGTGACTAAATATTAACACTAAAATCATGAACTTCACACCCTATTAGGACACTCTTTATTTTGTTTTATTTTTATGTACCCTCAAACCCAAGGATCATTAGATGGGAAAGGAGTGCTTCCTCTACATGTAGCCTAGGCTGGCTTTGAACTGTGGTCCCAAGCCTCAGGCTCCACGTGCTGCACCATGTGATAAAGATCCTACATATTTCCTAACATTTGATAGATTCTGACAGTAGCTAGCATATGGTGAAATCTTTTTCATTGTACATTCTAATATGTACATATATCAACACTACTGATTTCAAATTTAAAAACCACTGAATTAATAATGTGAAGTGTAAGCCCTCCACCCTCACCAAGTCAGAGGGATAAGGACTGTGGCTATACTGCCACAAATGATTGGTTTTCTACATGAGTCTTGGTGATCACAAATCAGTGAAAATCACTTTTCTTCCTACAAACTGAGAAAAGCAAGTCATCATAAACTAAATCTAGGGGCAAAAAAGTTTTACATCTACAAAAGACAGTACACAGGTGGCAAGGAGGAAACTCTAGGTGAGGCGGGGGAAAAGGGTGTGTGGCAGGCACACTCCTTTGGCTCCAACCCTGAGGGAGTCACAGACAGGTGGTTCTGTGAGTTTAAGGTCAGCCTGGTCTACAGAGTGAGTTCAGGACAGTCAAGGCTACACAGGGAAACCCTGTCTAGAATTTTCAAGGAGAAAAACAGGTGACATATTACCGCCAGCCACAGGAAGGAACCGTGATAGAATTTAAGAGCAGAAAGGAGCCATGACCTGCCCATATCTAACTCAAAGGATAAACTGTGGCACTATAATAAAAGTGGGTCTGCGTGGTGTTTTCCAGACACTGAAACAGTATAGATAGAAACCAAGCTGGAACATGCTGGAACGTGCTGGAAGCAGGTACAGTGAGAAATGACCAAATTCTATATGTAATAGGAAAGAACAGGTGGACAGAACAAATACTTGGGTAATGGTTTTGAGAGACTGACTCAGTGAGATGGGATATAAAAACTGGCCCATGCTGGGCATGGTGGCACATCCTTTTAATCCCAGCACTTGGAAGGCAGAGGCAGGTGGAGCTCTGTGAGTTCGAGGCCAGCCTGGTCCCTGGACAGCCAGGACTACACAGAGAAACCCTGCCTCAAAATAAACCACAAAAAAACACCTGACCCACAAGAACTAATGCTGACTAGAACACGGAACAATGTTCAACAGAGGACACATGAGAGCTCCTACTTTCAGAATTTGAGGTGAAACCTGGAAAGAGATATTCGAGCCAGATGAGAAGAAATGGATGTCAGCTAGGCCCATGGTGCAGACTTATAATCCCTAGTGCTCAGGAGACAGACACAAGAGAATGGGGTGTTCAATGATACACACTGAGCTCAGGGCCAAACTGGGGAAATTTAGGTCTGGCCAGGACACTAATGCCTAGCATCTGTGGGGCCACAGGTTTGATCCCAAGCATTGAAAATGGATTGTAAGAGGGTGATGATGATAATGACGATGAAAGTTTTATAAAAGTCAAGGAATCTGTCACACATACATGCACAAATGTAGGTACAAAGAGGAAAGCAGTTCATTCAGAGATGGGAAGCCAACCATGGTGGCTAAAGCCTGGAAATCTTGCATGAGTTCAAGCTTTGTGAAAGCAAGTGAAAAAAAAAAAACCTTTAAAGGGGAAGAATAAATAACAAGAGAAATTAGGCAGCCAGCGGGGTGCAAGGCGGCACACTGCCCCAGCGCACAGTAATGCTGCTCTAGAACGTGCTCCGTCAGTGCATGCCCTCAATCAGTTTTCCTCACTGACCTTAGTTTTGACCTTTTCTTGGGCTCTGTATACATAAATTGTGCTCTTCATGAAGCGTCTAGATATGTCTGGCTTCCTGTTACATTTTCTAATATACATGCATGTGTCCACTGGCTCCAGTAACTTTTTCAGGCTGCATTATTTCTTCTTGCCCTCTTTTGGTTTTATGAGACTGTGTCACAGACTAGCCTCAAGCAGGCTACTTAGGGGAGGATGTCCTTGTGATCCTACTCTTCTCGACTCATCTCTCAGGTTCTGGAATTACATGGGTGTGTCACCATGTCCAGCAAATGCGTAATTTCTACTGCACGCAATAAAAGCTTGCTTCTCTGCTGAGTCTTAACGTGGCACACCCATTTAGATGTGTTTGGCGTGTTCCACTGTGAACAGCTTTCAACACCGAGGGTAACCCTTGAACTGTAGGTGGTTTGGGATTCCTTATATCCACTAACAGGACAGACATGGCTGGTCTCTGCTCCCCTTCACAATGCGGGACGTTTTAAGGTAGAACAGTGGTTTTTTCCCAGCTTCCCACTGATGCTCCCTGCCGTCTGTCTGAAGCTATGGCTGTGGCTTTGTCTGCCACACCCCAGCATCAGCTCTTGACAGCCTCTGTCATTACATCACCTTAACCCAAGAAAGGCAGCAAACAACAGGCCTGCTCTGAGAACTGCTACTACTCTCTCACTGTTCTACTCACCTGATCCTTGTGATTAGCGTTACAATCAAGGAAAATGTATAAAAGCATCAAGACTGTTTTAAAGTCACAACAGTTGCTTTATTTAAATTATCCAATTACTGAAATTTATTTTTCAAATTTAAATAAACTTTACTTAAAATTATCCAATACCTTCCTAGAAAAACAGTATCTTCACGTCTTCTCCCATGCCTTCACAGCACCAGACTGGGATCTTTCATCAAAATCAGGTAGAGATGACAGGACATTCTTAGAGCTCCCTGAATAAACCTCCTCAAGGACAGCAACTCCCTACTGGAAGCTTGTAGCCTAGCTACTCTCAAGAGGTCAAGAGCCCTTGGTGGAACTGGCCAGGAAACCAAGGACTTTGGACACAGTGCACTCAGGGAAGTAGCAGGATCCCCTAAGTCAGTGCTGCCATCCTGTTCCAGTGGGACTTCGCCCTCACCCACCCTCTGTACACTTGCCAATGTCCCAGAAAACCCTCTGCTACGCTAATAAAAGGAGTTTGCATACACATCAGTTGTGCACATATCCCGGCCTCTGAGGATTCCTTCATGCCATTCATCCACTCTGTGAATCCTCTGTGGGGAAACTCAGGTTACTCAAATCTACCTATGCCAACCAAGTCTCAGATCATGTCCATTCCTGCCTGCTATAGACCTGCTAGTTACCTCTTAGAAAGGCTCTTGAACATTTGTAGCTAATAAAAAATTCGCCATGTGCTGTCGAAGCAATTGTCCTGAATCATTATAAAATACAGCTGTGTGATTTTGTGCTGCTTTTACAGATCTGTGTGCTTTCTGAAGGTGATCATGTACAACTTGGGGTAATCAGAAGCATTTCTATGAAGCCCTTAAGCTTGCCTATACACACACTTTGGTATTTTTAAACAGCAACTATATCTCGCTTGATTTCCTAACGTAAGCTCAGCAAACAATTTAAACAACAAAAAAAGGCAGAGTTCTCTTGCTGCTTTGTGTCATATTCATAATCTGAAAGTCTTCTATTTAGAATGTGCTAATGTTGCTTTTTAATATTTGAGAAAGCATGAAAAGCTTCCTGGGTAAACTATATTATATACTGGATGCAAACCATTCCACACAGTTCATATCAGGTAGGGGTGAGCATATTGCTGGTGCTGGTTCCTTGAGTGTTTCTTCTGCTTCTTCCATCTCACAGGGTTTAGTCCTTGAATTTGAGTACACCCACTGGTATCAAGTCCACAAATACTTTGCCCTTTTATTTACACTACTTTACAGTCCTGAGAACTGAATGTAGGGCCACCACACACAAAAGGATACTTTCTTATGTCTCGTGCCTTTCCCCTTTAAAATTAGTTTGTTTGTTTTTTTTTTGTTTATAATAATATATTCATTCATATTTATTTGTGCAACTGTTAGTTGGCATTTGTGTGTCATAACATGTGCATGACATCTGTGGAGGTCAGAGGACAACCTCAGAAGTACTGCCCCATGTTTGGACTCACTAGAGCTACCGATTACAGGAGCTAGGGGGCCAAGGCATTTCAGGCATTCTTCTGGTCCTGCCCTGAACCCTGCCCAAAGGGTACTGGGCTGACAGACACCTCTAGCTCTTCCAAGGCTCCTGATGCTTCCAGAGCAGGCAGGAGCTTTTGCTCACAGAGCCACTAGCCAGGCTCATGTGTTTGCTTTTGGTACCTCAGACTCTGATGAAATTAGTTATCATCTTACTAGGTCAGCCTTCTCTCATGTGAAAGCAAAATGCTGCACAGCCTAAATTCCTAAGATCCTTCCCTCCTTTAACAGCCTGTGGTTAACAGATCATCACTAGAATTCACACAGCTTAATCGACATTTGACTATTTTCTCACAATTTTAAAGAAAAAAGATTGACCTAATCTTTGTTTTAACTTCTGTTGTATAATGCAAAGGAATAAAAAAATACAAAAACATTAGGCCAAGTACAGTGGTACATGCCTAAAATCCCACTACTGAGGAGGCTGACCCAAAAGAATAACAAGATCAAGGCCAGTCTGGGTAACCCGGGGGTAACAAAATGATGTAAAATCACAGGATGGAAGGATCCCAGTCCTCAAACATCATTCTCAAACTAATGCTTCAGGGCTAAGAATGAAGTTTAGCAGTTGAGTACTTGCCTAGCATATGCAACAAGCCAGGTTTGACCTCAGCAGTGAAAATGAGGAGACAAACATTCCAATCCTTGACTTTCCTATATGCTCATCCATTTTGTTGTGTAAATTCCACTCATTTTTCACTACACTGAATCATACTCATAGTTGGCTCAGGAGGCTGGAAAGTATTCAGTATGAAAACTTAACAGTTTCAAACACTTTTTTTCAATGACTTGAAATCACAAGACTGGTGTCTTACATGTCAAGGAGGCACATTACAGTTCGAAAATAAATATATGAAAAATGCTTACCGCTTATTGCAGTGAAGATCATAAATGGGTGTTTTAAACTGGATAGACTTGACCATTTCCCCAGTACGAAGTGAATACAGATCCACACAGCAGTATGGTGGTGTCGTACTAAAAACAAAGAACAGGCAACACAACAAATGTTTTCTTAGTACATAATATGAAGAAATTCACTCAAAGTTCACCACACAAAATAAACTTAATACAGCCAGGCAGACTCAGGAAAGTGACACTAGCCTTTAATCCCAGAACTAAGGAGACAGAGACAGGTGGATCTCTGTAAGTTCTGAGCCAGCATGGTCTACAAAGCAAGTTCCAGGCCAGGGAAGGATGTAGAATTAATACTGTAAAGAAGAACATTATGATTTTGTAAACAGATTGTTAACAAGTTCATGGTAAGAAATGTTTCCTTGTTCTTATTAAAGATTAAAATGAACGACTTTAAAATGAATAAATAAAATTAGTAGACAGCACATATAAATGTACAATGCTAAAGATTGTGATGCTAAAATTTGGGAGAACAGGCTCATTACCTAATTCAGTTCAGCACAGCAGGTCAGTTCCATGCATAACTGAAAGCACAGTTCAAAGAAAATAAAACTGAAAACCTGATTTGTGTGTGTATAAAGCTCAGCAGTATGAAGAGAAAGACACATATAGTGTACCTGGACATTGGAGACAACTGCTGTGAGTGACATGGATATAGCAAGGTTACTAGACAGAAGGTATACATAAATTTATCACCAGAGCTTTCATAAAGGAAAATTAAAAAGTGATATTTTAAAACACTATACACATCAGTCTTTGAGAATGCATAACGACTAACAGTTAAATTCAACCCTCCGCATAGCAGAAGGGAGGTGTGGCAGTTCACGCCTGTGACCTCAGAAACGAGGGAGGATCCTGAGATCAAGGGGTTCTAAGGCAGCCATGTCAAAGATTAAAGAAACAGGTCATGTTCCCGTTAATATACACAAATAGTTAAGGAGATAATACACTTTTCTGGTGATTTAATTTTTATTAAAACTGTAACACCATTACATTTCAATAGTCTTTACTGTACTTTAAAATTAACTGGGAAAATGCACAGGTCTAAGAATCTACCAGTGAGCTATACGCTGTCTCCAGTGTCTGCAGCATTTCTGAAGTAGGAAGCACTGTGAAAATACATTTCAGAAAATACATTTTTGTCTTTTTGACTAACCTCTTTTGTTAACATGCCCAATAAAAAGCTAAGCCTGTTTTTTTTCCCCCAGAGTTTATGAACAGGCATTTTATTTTTTTTAATTATTTTTATTTTTATTAATTAGTTTATTCACTTTGTATCCCCCCTGTACCTCCTTCCCTCCTCCCAATCCCACCCTCCCTCTTCCCCACCCCAACCTGTCCTCTGGCTGGGTGAGGCACACACCTTTAATCCCAGCAGAGGCAGATAGAGCTCTGTGAGTTTGAGACCAGCCTGATCGAGGACAATCAAAGCTGCACAGAGAAAACCCTGTCTCAAAAAACAAAGCAAAATGAACAAAGTTACCTTCTGATTATACTCATACACACAATATAAAACAGACCTAGAAGTAATGCTCTTGCCAGAAGGCCTGAGAACCTGAGATCCATACCCAGGATGCAGACAGTGGAAGGAGAGAAAAAGCTCCCAAGCTGTCTCTGACCTCCACCTCCACCTCCACCTCATTTCCAGTGAGGTGCTCCTGACAGTGGCAGCACTAGATACTAGAATTCCAACCCCTTTGCTGCCCCATACAAGGGATTCTTTTCCAAAATCCCCATATAGGTGGAAAAAGCACTTCAATGCTAACTGAAAAGGACAGCACTATTAACAATGTACATATTGAGGAAACATTTAACCAACAGTTAAATCTTCCTGTCCAAGATGTGACTGTGTGCTTGCCTGACATGTGCAAGTGTTCAGTGTTCTCTCTTCTGAAAGGCAGCTGAAGAGAAAGCTTCCCATAAGCCTCTGGGTCTAAGTGTCCCACAACTTCCATGCTGCGCGACAAGCTCTCCTTGTGCCCTCCACAGGTGCATCACAGAACACAATGCCATAATAGAGTTACACAGTCATCTGGGTTCTGCAATGCTCCGGTTGGCTGGCATGCCTGGTGACATGTGTTTGCCACTGAAAGACAGCTATAACCCTCACATCAAGATGACACTGATTCTCTAAAACACAGAAATTTCCTAATAGAAGTTTAGAAGCCCAAGAATGTAACTAGGTTCATTGTGAATGAAGACTATATGAAAAACATAGGATTCATCTGAATTAGCAAATTGTTGTATAAAATCCTCTGAATCAGACCAGAGCAGTTGCTTTTAACTATCTTTTTAACACACATGTATCCAAATAAACAATAAATGTGGTTTGTAATTTTTGTGAGAATACAGAGGTGGATGTAATTTGGATCAATTGACCTACTCCTACTATAAGTGAGGTGTTTTATATTAAGTTATATAGCAAATGTGTTGAAAACTCTTATCTAAACAATCTGTTAGTTGTTGTACATCTGACTCACATCCATAAAGGAAGTTATTAGTATTTTATGGGGTAAGTCCTAACATACATATATTACAATAGCCAAAGGAATGGAATTTATATAATCATTTCAGTGAGAAGGGTTATTATATCTATTTAAAGATCAAGGCTTTTTCCCCCCTTCCAATGAAAAAGCTTTCTTTAAAAGTTATTGTAAACCACAGAATGACATGGATCTGCGATGAGGAAACACGGAAATATAATTAATACAGAAGGCAAGCATCAATAAGAAACCAGCACCATTATCATCCAAATGAATCTATAGTTAAAATTACCCTAGTCAAGCAAAAATAACTGCACTTACCTAAATTTTCTAAAGTCTGAGTAATTCCATACAATAAACCTAGGCCTAAATTCTTAAATCCAGAACTAATTACAAAACCTATCAGCTTTTTCCTATAGACCTTCTTTCATGTCCTCCATAGTAATTAGGTATTTCCAATATGACTTCAGTGTTCTGACAAATTTTATGTCAATTTGGGGAATATAAATTGAGAAAAAGGTTGGGCTGTAGGCATTTTCTTAATTAGTGATTAATGGGGGAGGGGGGTGGAATTCATCCTTGGGCTAGTGGTCCAGTGTTCTATAAGAAAGCAGGCTGAGCAGGCCATGAGGAGCAAGCCAGTAAGCAGCAACCTCCATGTCCTCTGCATCAGCTCCTGCCTCCAAGTTCCTGTAATGTTTGGGTTCCTGTCCTGACTTTTCAATGAGGAACCACGGTGTGGAAAAATAAACCAAATAATTTTATGGTTGGGGGTCACAACATGAGGCAATATTAGGTTGCAGTGTTAGGATTACTGGGACAATTAAAGCAGATCAGGTGGAGCTAGTAGTGCTCGCCTTTAATCCCAGCATTGGGGAGGCAGAGGTAAGTAGACCTCCATGAATTCAAGGCCAGCCTGCTCTACCAAGTCAGTCCAGGAAAACCAGGGTTCTATTACACATATGCTCCAACACACATGCACGTACATACGTACGTACGTACGTACGTACACACACACACACACACACACACACGGAGGGGTGTGGAGAAAGAGGAGAGAGCAGCATCCTCAGAGTTAGCACACGTTGAGGGGAGAGCAGCTGAGGCTTAGCACCCTGTGGGAGGGTTAGGAGTTCCTGAAGAAAACCCAGAAGTGGTAACTGGTAAGAGTACAGTGCAGTCACAGTAAGAGAACCCAGCATTTTGGAGATGCCAGTACCACGAATGACCACCAAGAACAGCAACACAGTGGAAACCATCTGAGCCTAGAAGACAAGCCGTGTGTGTGGCAGACAGCAGAGCCAGAAGTTACTGAAGCCTTTGAAGGAGCCCAGAAGATGGTAAGTTTCCTATAATGGACACTGAGTGATTTCCAGAGCTGGAGTTTGGTTTTGCCTTGTTCATACTGTGGCTGTGCCCAGGTTCCTGCCTCTTAAAAAGGTATGTTATTATATTTATTTTAAAGGATCCCACTGAGAAACTTTGGATTTTTAAAACAGATTTTGGATTTTAAAAGAAACTTTGGATTTTTTACAAAGACCAAACTTACAAGGTTGTTTGAATTGGTAAAAACCATGGGATTTTTGAGTTGGATATTTGTGATATTTATTAATCTGAGATCTTGGGAATGAATTTAAAGAAAAGTCTCATGTTGTCAATTGTGCTGTTTTCATCACAGCAACAGAAACGCTAAATGACACTGTTAGTATCACAACATTTGTTATGAAAGGTGATCTCTGCAAAAAGTATTGCAACATGGAGGGAACATCTGTATTCCCAGCACTTGGGAGACCAAGATGGGGGAGTGACCTGGAGCTCAGAGTCAGCCTGGGCAACAGAGTGAGCACCACATCAGCTTGGGCTTAAGGGAGATCTCACCTTAGAACTATACCAACAAAAGTAAGTAATGAAAAAAATTTATAAAAATTTAATAACTAGCCAAACATCCTGTCTCAAAACAACAAAATAGGCACAATGTCACTCTCACTAGATTGGAAATGTTTTGTTTTTGAGACAGGGTCTCTCTGTGTAACCTTGGCTGTCCTGGACTCACTTTGTAGACTGCCTCTGCCTCCTGAATGCTGGGATTAAAGGCCTGTGCCACCAAGCCCGGCTGACCGGACATAATTTTAAAAGTCCTAACAAAGGAAGGCAGCGCTCAGTAAGAGAAGCTGAAGGCTGGCCAAAGCTGGTGGTGACGTGGTTTGAATCTGAAAAGGCCTCCATGTGATTCTGTTCAGAGTGCCCAGTGTGGCAATAGACAGTGTTCAGTGTGGCAATAGACAGATGCTCATGTACATGTACCATCGGGGTGTGTGTGTGTGTGTGTGTGTGTGTGTGTGTGTGTGTGTGTGTGTGTGT